AATATGAACATTTTGTATAACCCTGTCAAGTTTTAAAAAATATGATGACAAACTTGAAAGACTTTTTAACCTTGTCATGTATCGTGATACGTATCGTATCGTGAACTGAATACCGTGATACGTATCGTATCATGAGGTTAGTGTATCGTTGCACCCCTAGCTATTACATATCCTTTGATAATAATTAACCAACAGATCAAGTATGATTGCCTATGTAATTCAATTTAAATTTTCATTACTAAGTTTAAAACATCTAAACTCAGTAACTTTGACCTTGCCAAGCAACCTCTATGCTAAGAGGGATTTTCAAAGAAATGGCCTTGCAACAATTTTACCCTCTGACCTTGTCCAAATGATCCTGGTTCAGATTTATGAGATATCCCTGGACACAAGCAATCTATATGCTAAGTATGAAATTGTTATGTTTCTCAAATTCAAAGTTATGTCCTGGACATGAATTGTAAACCATGTGACCTAATTGACCTTCACCTTGTCAAAATGGCCTTGGTACAGGGTTACAACACACCCACTGGTTACAAATCATTTTCTACTAAGTACTGTATGTGATTTTAAAAAGCTAAACACATTGATGAAGTTTTCTTTGATACCTTGATCAAAGAAAAAATTATAAGATTCATTTCTTAAATTTAGCATGTTTGCTGTGACCATGTTTTACTGTACAGGATCAATTGAGAAAAAAATGTATAATCAATCTCCCATATGTCTCTCTTACCTGATAGGTATTGTTCATGAGATGTACTGGGATGCTGATTGGTTGGGAGTGATGGTAGGGATGACGTAACAAGATGGACATAATCTCCATACGAGAGGGTCTGGCATCTCTGTTTCCCTTCAGAATGGTCCTCTCTAATGCTCTCTGACAGAAAATGGCATATTTTCCCATGTCATGCCTAAAATAATTTTGACGATGGAAAAAATAAGAAATGTTCAAGATGATAAAATAAGGAGTTTTTCATATGATCTAAATATTTCAATGGACCACTTCATTTTGGATAAGAATTCTTTTCATTGAACTCATATTTATCTGAATTCTCAAAGTATGTGTTTGTACACAGTTCTTTTCATTGAGCTCATATTTATCCAAATTCTCGAAGTATGTGTTTATACACCATCGACAAGCTCTTCTAAATGCTGTAACTTATTACTGTCAAAGATTTATTATTTTTGATATTTTACATCTGAAGATGGTCAGCAATTTCTATGTCTTTTATTGAAAAAAATTTCCAGAACCCTCATTACATTTCCTTTGTAAGATTTCATTACCTTGGATCTGCCAGCCTCTGCAGGTGGACCTTGAGGTGCCACATGATGGACTGTTTGGGGAGGAACAGTGAGGTGGACAGGGATAGCAGCTGCCATCCCTGGAGGAACACAGTGGTGATGGGGTTCAACCTTCCCTCACACAGGTCTGATACAGAGTTTGTGGGCGAGGTGGGGGTGGTGTGGCACAGATACCAGGAATGTTTACCACACAACAGCAGGTTCTACAAAATATCAATATTTATCTGCAAGTTACCCTCTTTGATATGAAGCACAAGCTTGCTCTAGGATATTATTTTCCAATGTATAGGAGATTTCACTTGTGATTTTTCCTATTACTAAGAAATATTAAAATCGCAAATGTTGATATTTTTTTCATTGGACTAAATATATCTCACTTGTACCGCTGTTTTGTGGGTGACAGGATGAGCAGACAGCTGCTTGATCATTTGACAGTAGAACTCATTCTGTAACTCAGGGAATTGTAGGCAGGTCTGTAAGATAGTCTGAGCTAACTCAACATGGAGCTCTAGCTTGGTGGAATCAATGGGGGTGTAGATAAAGTCATTTATATCCTGAGAAAAAAATCACAGCAAATTAATGAATATAAACAATAAACTACAGATAACATCTTAAATCTGGAACAAAAGAAGAACCAGCAAATTAAAAAAAAAATGTATAAAAAGTATGAAAAAATTATATTCTTTTTCAAGAGTACCATCTTTTCTGATAGGTACACACCCTTGACAGATCCAGAGCTCTCTCCTGCAGATCCTCTGAAGGAAGTGTTGTTAAAGGTTTAGAAAGTGGTTCTTTGGTGTGAAGCATCATGGGATGTTTCCAGTATAAAGAATCTAAATAAAAGACAGCAAAAAGTAGAATGTAATTTGTTTTTGAAAATCATATACAATTTAACTACTCCTAACATTGATAGACAATTGAAAAGTGAGATTGATTAAATCTCTGTCTAAATGACCTACTTGGATCTCCATTGACCTCCATGACCTTTGCAATGAGTTGTTCATACTCTGTACCAACATTTCCTGTTCCTCCCCCAGCAGCAACAGTCAGGTGGTACAACCAGGAATCCTAGAACAAATTCTGTAAAATCACTTATTTTTGTTGGCTCAAGTTTTCGTGGTTTGACAAAATATTGGTTTGTGGGGATCTGATTTCATGATTGAAGAAGTGTAGAGTCTTTATATATTTTTTACATTTTGTCGAGGACATAAATTCGTGGGTTTCTTCATACCATGAAAACAATGGAAATTAAACCCTCAAAAATGAGTGTGCAATCTGTCACTGCTGACCAATAAAACGGGGAATGTTTTATTTACGATTTTCCCCTAAAGGCTGAAATTTTGACAAAGTTTTAACCAACTGCAGATCTTGGCATTCTCCACCTCACCTTTTCATGTTTGCTAGGAAGCATGAGGTAGGTGGGACCTTGGAATGGTGGCCAGATGGCAATGGTATACTGACTGATGACATCATAGTCTGCCTCATCATCCGAGTCCTCGCTGCTGTCCACGTCTTCAATCCTTGCATCCCGTAAGTGGATCTGACCAGAAGGAGTCTGAAAAAATGTGTGAATCACAAAAAATGCTTTGTAAAATTAAGCCTTGAATCCAAAGGAAAATCTATTCATTATTGTGTTAATGCCTTATTTTATGGTACTGACAAAATAATGCTGATAATACCTTGTCTGTTTTGTTTTTATAATATAAGAAATATCTCCCTAGCAGCACACACCAGCATCTTTTTGTAACTCCGTGTTTTGCCTAAAGAAAGATGTAAACATGTCATTCTACATCATTTTCAAAAATTCTGATATCGTTTTTGCCTAATAACCATCCATATCCCTACTTGTTCTTCTTTCTGTCATTATGAATCTAAATAAAAAACACCCCCCTCCTAGCTTGAATATACTATTAAGAAATAAGAATCACAACATATGGTTTTTAAATCTTGATGGAAAATTATGTATATGTGGAAAAAAATCTTTCTAATTGTAAATTAACTTTTTCTGATGTATGTTACATACTTAAAAGATGATTTAACAAATGCATGCAATTTTCACAGTGTGCAGGAAACTTGCTACTGTATGACAAATATAGTACATGTTTTAATACAAACATTGAAGAAAAAAATAGAAGAAAGTGGTGCTGTGGTATGAATCAATAGTAAGTCCTCACCTTAACAAGCCATCCTCTGGAAACTGCCTTAGTGTCAAGTTGGTCCAAGATAAACCCAGTGGCATGTCGCTTCAAAACTTTCTGTAGTACTATGATATACAATAAGACAGAACCTCTAAACAAGATGTATGTCATAAAAACTTAAAACAAATATCAGGCATACATGTAGATTTATGCTTGGTGTATATAATTTCTTTTTCTTATTCCAGTAAAGCCTTTAAGTTGTATATAAAGCAATGCACACTAGTCTTTACTTTTTATCCATTTCTCTGTGTCAGCTAACGAGTCTGCATTGAAATAGTATGTCTTCTTGGAGTTGCTTATCTGAAAAAAAAAGTTGCAACTTTATAAACATTAAAGTTTAAATATAGTCAACTTCATTATGTAAATATTCACCATATCAAGACTAAAATCTCCTAAAAAATGTGTATTGAATTCTTCTATACTTACCTGGAAAGTTGTTTCTCCCTTGGTATTATCTATCCTAGTTTGTTCATCTAAAGAAATGGTTCCCTGAGGTTTGCGTAGAACATCATGCTATAAAATTTTCAAGGACTAAAGTGACATTTTCAACAGCAACATTATCAGTATCATTGTATTTTTTTCAAAATATTATCTTCAAAAATGTATTCAGATTTTTGCATTTGCAATTTAATAGATTGAATTTGATATTTGCAATACTGAAGCACAAAATGCTGCCAAAATAATGCAATATATGTATTACTGTATATGTACAGCAAAAAATAAACATTTACCGTTTCCTTTTATATGAAAAAAATTTCTACATATTTTTACACTTATTTACTAACCTGTGACTTGTAGTAGAATAATTCCCCATTTCGAAGGACAAACCACCGTCTCTTCCACATCTTGACTTTCCCACCTAATTTGGACAGATAGCCAAACTTTTCCAATGTATCCTACACAACAGTATCACAATTTTGTCAAGGATAAACTACACTTCTATGACTATCATTATTATTCCAAAAACAGGTGTGTTTGGTATCAGTGAGAAAACATTATTAACCTTTTGCTTCCAAAATTTCATATACAAATAGCTGACTACCTGTTTGTGGCTGTCTGTGGTATAGCGAAGCAGTTTTTTCTCTGGTTCCAAACTCTCCAGATCACTCTTGTCGGAGGTCTCGTCAGGAGGATCGGCATAATCACAGGAAACTTCTGAGGACACTGAGGGACAGGACACACCTAAAGTATCCAATGACATGATCTACACAGGGCACATGTCTGCATTTCTTTTAAGATATTGTCATTAACTATTTCTATTCTATAATTGTTTATTAATGGTGCAAAAAGACTGCTAAAATAGGAATACAACTAATATATACATTGTGCATATATACATGTATTCATTTATGAATAGAGTTACAAATACATGCATAATAAAGTGATTTATATTTACCATTATTAAGCGAAGTAGACATCAAGAGAAATATATTTACATGTACCATTATTAGGCAAATTATACAGACCAGGTATATACATATATACAAGAAAAATCATTTGCAAGTTTTTAGGTTCATGACAGGAAATAGCTAAATGCAGTAAGCAACTAAGGTATGTTTGTCTTTTTTAAAGGTTTTGTTTAAAAACAGGAAACATTCATTTTCTTCTTTAAGATCAATCTGAATTCAATATGTAAATATTAACCTTAATCATATCATCTATAAACAGGCCTGTGGGCACATCATAAGCACGCATTCTTTGCTTTCTCTAGGCAAAACATCAGCCAAACTGTAATCAAATGCATAAATTCCGTTGTATCTGCATATATAGCCTACCTCTTTTGATGGCCCCTGAGCTGCTTTGCTGTAATTTCTTGGAATCAGAGACTTTGAGAGTAGAAGGCTGAGATTCTGAGTTCCTGAGATCTATTTGTTCTGTAACATCCTCATTGTCCGACGACTCTGAATCATCATCAGTGAATGGGGTACTACGGATCTGAGCTGCCTTCTTCAAACATAAAGACATTATATTCCTCACTGTATGCTCCTCAATTTGAAAATTGCTGGAATAACATATTTTTTTTTGTTGAGGTAAAATAACTTACTCCTTTTAAAGTTGCATACACTGGGACATCTAGTTCTCTGTAGATCTTAGCAACCTCAGTAAGCTCTGCTGGGTCTTGAAAATTAAATAAAATTTAAATTTCTTTCTGGTGTACTATTGCATAAAAATATATGTTATGCATGAAAATTTGCATATTGCAAAAAATCAAGGAAATTTTTTACTGTAAATATATTGTATTATCTTGTGAATTCTTGTACCACTTCCTTGATAGTGGCTCTCTATTGCATGATGCTCAAACATCTAGCTTTTGAAAGTTTCAAAACACAAGATTCTGAGTATTATCAAAAATGCAATTAATGTTTTTTCAGTTGTACTGTATGGTGCAAGACTGCAAGTTGAGTGTACCGGTAGATTGTTTCTCTCCATAAGACTGCTGTACTCTCTCTCTCTCAGTATACAAATAATTTGTCTGTTATCCCACTCTGTTTCTCTCTCTATATATGACTGCTGTACTCTATTTCTCTCCCTCTCTCTCTCTGTATATATATATATATATATATATATATTTATTACATTTTCAACAGTGAAATACTGTGATTTATTTATTGAATAAAAGTGATATTCTCTCACACTGTGAAAGGATACCCAAAATAATATTCTCTCACAGTGTGAAAGGATATCAAAGTAAGTAAAAAATAATTTCTGGCCTATCATAAGACAGAGATAGTAACTAAGCATCTTGGTAGAGCTAAAACTGCACATTTCTCCCCAAATGTGTTGCTAAAATCCATGCTATGTAATGTTTTCAATCTCACAACTGCTAAGCTATGACATCTCAACCACTCAACTATGACGTCAAGCCTATGACACTGTGTTAAGAAAAGACAGAGGCAAAGGGAAAATCAAAGAAAATGTAATAAACAGAAAATTCACTTCGCACTCATGAAAATATCAAAAAATCCTGTCCCACTCGTGAAATAAATTCCATATTCATCTACAAAACATTGAATATCCTCTATTTTTATATATATATATATATATATATATATACATATATATATATATATATATATATATATATATATATATATATATATATATATATAATTTGTCTATCATCCCACTCTAACATCAGTTTCGTGTAATGGCCAGGAATGAGCAATCCAAAACCTTGTAAAGTTTACCTGTTGTGTCTGATGGCTTGAGTTTCCTTGGTACTGTGTGTGCTCTCCTGTCCTGTTCACAAATAATAATTTAAAGAATGTTTAAATCTTGATGTCTAAGCCAAGTTTATAGTCAGTGAAAAACATAAGCTTCGTTTATTACATACATTAAATGGAACATTCCAGTCATTTTCTGGATGTGACTCAGTATAAACTAGAACTGTCCAAAAGGGACAAATACCCCCCGCTGGGTTTTTCAGAGAAGGTATCAAATCAATAATGTTTTCTAGATGTGAGAGGTGTTCACAATTTGCCTAAACATTTAGAGTGAAAATTTAATTACTCATTATATATTTTTTTTAATGAATGAAACTAAGGTGCAGCCTAATAAAACATCAATACTAGTAATTACAGTGTTTTTTATTACATTGAAAAAATAGTTTGCAACTGCCATCTTTGTGAGACATGACACTCTGCAAATTGATTGTTGAAAAAAAAAAAATCATAATTAATTATACAAAATCAAATTGATCTTAATACCTTTATATCAAACTCATTTTAAAAATAAAAGGCTGGTTCCAGTAACTATGTATTTTGACAGACATAAATTACAATTAAGAGACTTAGACAACAGAGATCTTTATTTCTTTCTGCCCAATTCCCAGGAGATATAGATAAGATCTGCTTGATCAGAGATGCCCTAACAGCTTCCCACACTGAACTCATTAATTAATCTTTAACTGGATGCATGTCCACTCATTACTCCCAAGGGACAAATGGATTTACACTATCTGCTGTGTAATGTAAAAATTGTTTTTAATACTTTGTGATTTTTTTTTAATTCTAATAAGTAGTTTTAAGCTGTAGTTCACATTTTTGTACAGATGTTCTAAATTCTATGTCTCAAACCTTAGACATGAACCCGAAATGACCCGAAAAGTCAATAAAAATGAAAAAAAAAAAACACCTGTAAAATGCAGAAAAATTATCAAATAATGTTGAAAATATCAGGTGCACATCTTCATATGGTAAATAATAAGTGTACAAATTTTCATACAAATCTATGCAATAGTCTCTGGGAACAATCCAGACAAAACCACATAATAAAAATGAAAAAAACACCTGTAAAACGCAAAAAAATTATCCAATCATGATGAAAATACCAGGTGCACACCTTCATATGGCAAAGAATAAGTGTACAAATTTTCAGACAAATCCTTGTAACAGTTTCCAAGAAATGGTCTGGACAAAATCTCGTCTACAGACAGACGCACAGACAGACAGACGGACAAGCTGATTCCAATATACCCCCCTAAACTTCGTTTGCGGGGGGTATAACAATTCCATTTTACATGTATATGCAGTGCTAAACAGAATCATATTATATCATGACAGTACAATGATTTGTTGGAAAAATTAATCCAAAAAAAAAAAAGATTCTGACACAGTAAAATGCAAAAACTGATTTTTCACTGTTAAAATAAAATCTCTGCATCATTTGCTTTTCTTTGTAATATCTATCACTGTGATGCCTTACCCATTTCTTTGAGTCTGTGGCTTGCAGAGCACTATGTCTGGTGGGGCTGATTATATGTGGCTCAAGTACATGTGGGGGGTGGTGTTCCTGAGTTAGGTGATTTAGCATGTGTCCACTGCTATATAGGATTTCGGGTTTTGTGTGGCCCTTTGAACGCACTCGAGGTAGTGTGGCTATGGCACTCACAGCATTAGGACTGCTTTTATAAATGCTCATATGGGAGTTCTGTTTGACCTGAGGTAATGCTGCAGACACCTTGGTTGTCTTACTCTTACACACTTCTGCATAATCTGGTTCTACTGTAACTGAGATGATTTCTTCCTCTATTTCTACACCACTGCCATTCTGATCTACTTCTAATGATAGGATATCCTCTGTGATTTTGACCTTTGTATGACCTATTAGTTCCTCACTGCCATTACTAGAACTGATCAATGAATCCATCAAGTGAGCATCATGGAACACCTTTCTTTCTATTTTAACTTGAGGAGGGGCAGTTTTCTTTGGTTCATATGTACTTTCATGATTCTGATCCACTTCTTGGTATATTGGTACATTTTCAATGTCCACCATACTATCATCACTATCTGAAATGTTGGCTGTAACTTCTTGTATATTGTCATCAGAGGGTGGAGTAATACTACATGTGTCATTATTATTATATCCATCAGACCCTTCCTCCATTTTCAGAGTTTCCATAAGGGATTTTGAGGGTCTCTTTGGAATCTGTGGAGGTTCATCTGAAGCCATGGATGCTGACCTTGAACTGGACATTGACACAGAGTCTGATTCAGCATAGTCTGCCACTTCTTGACCTTGTTCATCTGTTTCTGGGGGCAAGGAAAGACTGTGGGTTCTCAGGACCTTTTTAACAGACTCTGTCCATGAGGAATTTGAGAGTCTGCGCACTGGACTGACCTCAGACACAGGTCGAGAATATGGCCTAGAGCTGGACTCAGACACAGGTCTAGAGCCCAGAAGATGAGAAATACTGGTAAATTCTGATACAGGTCTGGAATCAGGTGACACGCAGGAGGACTCGGCTTCTGATGATAGGCCAGGGAACATTTCCTGTTGAAGTAAAACTCATTACGGTCATTATGCAATTTGATTTCATTATCGACTCCTTTTAATCATCCAGTCTGAACAATGAATTATTCATTCCAATTTGATAAGCAAGAAAAACATCCATAAAAAGGTAATCATTAAAATAAATCTTTAAAAATAATGATCTATTCTTGTATCTAAATTGATATGCACTGAATTAAACATCTATTATATTGTCTCAGAAAGCACCTAGAAAGTCTTTTTGATTATGTTATTTAGCATTTGGTAATGAATTTGCCTATATCTTGTGGATCAACTGACCTGTTGACTAAGTCTGAAGATTTCCTTGGATGCCACAGCAGGAAGTGCCTGGAGTCTCTCTCGAAGAATGTCAACCTGTTCCTGCAGTAATTCATTCTCATGCAGAAGTTCTTTGTTCTGATTGTCCATCTAAATCAAGAACAATAACTGTCAAATTTAAATCGTGTGGTTTCAATAAGTTGTTTTAAATCCTACTGAATATGAAGTTATAACTAACAAACTGAGGAGCTAGCTAGTAAATTCTTTGTGAACAGCAAAGTACACATGTATCAAATCATATGAAAATAGATCAACCTATCTTGGGTTTCTAATAATCATGTAAATACAGTTTTATTATCATACATAAATAAATAAATCTTTTAAAAAATGCTTTGTTACACTATAAACAAAATTCTCAGCATGATCACAATCTTAAACCTGACGAGAAGAATAAATGATACCAGACAAAAACATTTCCATATCAAGAACATGCAAAAACTAAACTTTGTATAAGTCATAAAACTAAGATTATTGAAAGAAAACAGGAAGACTGGTCATTAAAGGCAAATTATATGGATTTTTTGGCTCCATAATTGTCAAACAGAGCTCATTAAGTTGTTTCCATTGGATAATTTAGTCAATACTAATTGGTAGTTATAAAGTACTGCACCTTGCTTTCTTACCCAGAAGAGCTTTGCTACTGAGTTTTGACAAGACAAACATTTCTTTTTATAAAGCCTGCAGCATGTACTTTTTTAAAATCTTATATATACTTGTCAAGTATGAAAATACTTCCAAAGTTGTATATAATTTAGATGACAGGTAAAATACAGAGCCGCATATTATTTCTCATGAAAGAAATACATGTACAGTGTATAACAACTAAAAATGATACTTCAGAATAATTTAAAACAGTATAAAATTTTGATAGCAAAACACATTCAACAATCTTACCATTTAACATTAATCATTCCATTTTATATTAAAATACATGTCAACCTAATCTTTTGTGAGCAAATCAGTGGTTCTTTTTCTGTTCTTTTTTTCCATACATGATGACCATATCTTAAGTAACAATCTTTTTCCCTCCAATCTGATAAAATTTCTTATGATAATTCCTTCAACAGGATGTTGATTATCTCAATTCTTTTAATCAGTTGAAATACCAAAATTCCAACTTTCTTTCCAATTGCAGCAGCAAAAGCTATGCTGCTGATCTTAAAAAATTAAAAGGAATCAATGGAATATCCTCAGTGAACTCACTGAACATGAACAAAGCAATCGTAAAATATACTATGAAGCAATTTCTCCAGAAATACAGATTAATGGGATTTTACTAATGAGATATAAAATATATGATCAATGACAAAATAAATATTTTCTCTTGAATTTGTCACAAATGAATTTTATTGTTTTTATTTGATAAAAAAATATTGTAAATGATTATACCAAGTAATTACATGGGTATTATTAGTGAGAATGCAGTGATTCTGTGTGGGTTGTATTATTGTATACCTGGTGTATTTTAGCGGTCACCCATTCTTTGATCCTTCCTGCCTTTTCCTCCACTGTCTTGGCTTCTTGTTGTCTGTGTAAAACCTACAAAAAGTGTATACATAAAGTTAAACATTTTTATCTATTTATCTAACCCCCCCACCACCACCAAAAAAAAAAAAAAAAAAAAAAATCTGCAAGAGTGGCTTTTTAGAAACACTTCCTACATCTTTTCCACATGTATAATAGATCCAAGAAAAAATTTGCTCTCTGCTATTTTCTTAAGACCTATCAAAGTTTTTTTCTATGTTCAACATTGGTTTTGGACAAACCAAACCAGTAAAAACATCCAAGTCAGAAGTCAGTGCAAAAAATCATTGTTGCTGTACTTTGAATAGTTATTTTCTTTACTTATATTGTTGAGAATTGTTAAATTATACAAGGGAGGTATAAACTTACCACAAAGGTCCTTGAATTTACAGACCTCTGTAGATTTTTGTGCAGACACTTGACCTTATCAAAATAACAATCCTCTTTTCCAGTAGAAATACTCTAATGTAAGATTTAATTTTACTTCTTTATGGTTTGAAAAGTCCTACAAATTGTCAAACATACAAAATTGATCACTTCAATAAATGCTTGTATCAGATTCATGATAGCTTGCCTCTATCAATTTTTCATGACTTGTACAATAATGCCCTGTGTAGTTTTTAGTAGCTCCCTCTAATTGAATACACAGCCTATGCTAGATATTTACACTCCCAGGATAACTGAAAGAACCTGATGTAATAAGTGAAAGTATATTATTCAGCATAAAACAGTAAACACATAAATCAGAGATCCTATTTTATTGGTTTATAATAACTTGCAATTTGGCGACCTTCAGTTTTGTTTGATCAAAACAACAGAATGGCTTGGATTTTACAGACACACTTAAACTTATAACTTTGAAAATCAAATTCCTTGATAACATATATTATGTACTTCAAAAAACTCAGTAGTTCCCCTGAGGCAAATTTAAATATATGTGTAAGTAGTCATTTTGAGTTGGGTTTTGTATATAAACTTTTGATTTAGTGATGGACAGCATAAATACAATCTCCTTAGATCTTGGTCCTCTAACTTTTGTTTTACTGAACTAAAGCTTGAGTCACTCTACATATATTCCCATATTGACTTACATGTGCTTTAATTCTCTTAGTCTAACTAGATTCCCATTTGACTTTTTTGCTTGGTCCTCTACCCAGATTCCCATATAACATTTTTCTTGGCTTATTACATAGATTCCCATATTAACTTACACATGCTTTTTTTCTTGGTTCTCTGGTCCTCTAACTTTGTTTTACTGAACTAAAGCATAAGTCACTCCACATAGATTCCCATACTGACTTGCATGTGCTTTTTCTTGATTCTCTAACTAGATTCTCATATGACTTACATGTGCTTTTTCTTAGTCCTTTAAACCTTTGTTTTACTGATCTAAAGCATGAGTTACTCCACATAGATTCCCATATGACTTACATGTGCTTTTTCTTGGTCCTCTGGTCCTCTTACTTTTGTTTTACTGATCTAAAGCATGAGTCACTCCACATAGATTCCCATATGACTTACATGTGCTTTTTCTTGGTCCTCTAACTAGATACCCATATGACTTACATATGCTTTTTTCTTGGTCCTCTGGTCCTCTAACTTTTGTTTTTACTGATCTAAAGCATGAGTCACTCCACATAGATTCCCATATGACTTACATGTGCTTTTTTCTTGGTCCTTTAACTAGATACCCATATGACTTACGTTTGCTTTTTTCTTGGTCCTCTGGTCCTCTAACTTTTGTTTTTACTGATCTAAAGCATGAGTCACTCCACATAGATTCCCATATGACTTACATGTGCTTTTTCTTGGTCCTCTAACTAGATACCCATATGACTTACATATGCTTTTTTCTTGGTCCTCTGGTCCTCTAACTTTTGTTTTTACTGATCTAAAGCATGAGTCACTCCACATAGATTCCCATATGACTTACATGTGCTTTTTTCTTGGTCCTTTAACTAGATACCCATATGACTTACGTTTGCTTTTTTCTTGGTCCTCTGGTCCTCTAACTTTTGTTTTTACTGATCTAAAGCATGAGTCACTCCACATAGATTCCCATATGACTTACATGTGCTTTTTCTTGGTCCTCTAACTAGATACCCATATGACTTACATTTGCTTTTTTCTTGGTCCTCTGGTCCTCTAACTTTTGTTTTACTGATCTAAAGCATGAGTCACTCCACATAGATTCCCATATGACTTACATGTGCTTTTTTCTTGGTCCTCTAACTAGATACCCATATGACTTACATTTGCTTTTTTCTTGGTCCTCTGGTCCTCTAACTTTTGTTTTACTGATCTAAAGCATGAGTCACTCCACATAGATTCCCATATGACTTACATGTGCTTTTTTCTTGGTCCTCTAACTAGATACCCATATGACTTACATTTGCTTTTTTCTTGGTCCTCTGGTCCTCTAACTTTTGTTTTACTGATCTAAAGCATGAGTCACTCCACATAGATTCCCATATGACTTACATGTGCTTTTTCTTGGTCCTCTAACTAGATACCCATATGACTTACATATGCTTTTTTCTTGGTCCTCTGGTCCTCTAACTTTTGTTTTTACTGATCTAAAGCATGAGTCACTCCACATAGATTCCCATATGACTTACATGTGCTTTTTTCTTGGTCCTTTAACTAGATACCCATATGACTTACGTTTGCTTTTTTCTTGGTCCTCTGGTCCTCTAACTTTTGTTTTACTGATCTAAAGCATGAGTCACTCCACATAGATTCCCATATGACTTACATGTGCTTTTTATTGGTCCTCTAACTAGATTCCCATATTGACTTACATGTGCTTTCTCTTGGTCTTCTAATTGTTGCTGTAGAGATCTGATAGTGTGGGCTTGTTCCTGGCATGTCCTCTCTAAGTCCTCTATCTTGGTGTCTCGGTGCTCAGGGTCCTTGGGCTGCCATTGTAGTGCTGCAAGCTGCTGCTCCATCAGCTGTAGCTGAAAATGTATAAACATGTAAACGACAAAGCTCTTGATGGTGAAAAGGTATACATAAAATGGCCCTGTCTATAAACCCATTAATGAGTTGTCACCCAATGTCCAATTTCAAAAATCAATATAAAGAAGAGACTTGATGCTTTCATTACATACATAAAAGTGTCTTCTGAGAGTTCATGTATTGGAAATCAGGCTTGTAAAATTGCAAAGTTCTTGACTTTTTTTTAAAAATAAAATTGATGAACAATGGTATATTCAACAAAGAATTCAAATATCAGTACACCTCCAATCCAAAAGACAAAACATGCTTTATATTGTCAAGTAATAGTTATGCTCTAGCTTAAATTTGAAAAAAAAAACAGCTTGAAATATTGGCCATTTTTGAAGAATTTTTCTGAATTTTTGTTGAATAATGACACAATTCATAACATCATAATATATTGACAAGTTAAAAATGATGTCATTTTTAAGAGATGTGGACAAAATACATCCAAATGACACTTGATGGATTTTCGCCTAAATTGAACAGTTCTGATTTTTTTTAGACTAACAGGACCAAATTAAGTACTTAATTCTTGCTCCTTCAAATTTATTTATAATATGGTCTTGCCAAAGTAAAATGCAACTTTGGTCACACATTCTGACAGTGTAGGTTACGTTTGCTGCCCATAACTAACAAGTCACTGTAATATTATATTATTAAATATTTCTCCTGGACTGGGGACAATAAACAATGCTGGCAAAAGTTCTTCCAAGCCTAATGAAGGCAAGCTAATGAAAACTTGTTATTTTGCAACTAGAGTAATGTATCATAAAGTTTGTGATTGAAATCATTTAATAATTCTTTGACAGTGTGCTTGCAGGCCTTAAATTTATATATTTTAATGTATTACACTTGATACAATATATGAAAAAAAGAACCCATGTGATATATGAAACCCATACACTGAAGGGAATACTGAATATTAAGGAAAGAAGGAAGAAATTCATGAACACTATAACATTATTACAAATATCTAAAAAAAAAATTATCTGTTGAAAGAAGAACCATGAATTCTTTTTACACTTAATTATACAAAACATCTTAAAATAGTTATCTGCTTTCTGGTAATTTAACTACATTAATGAAATATGAAAATAACTCTTGATTCTTTGACATTTTCCATTTCTGTCTACTGCATAATAATTTTACCTTCCTGCACTAATTCAACTTGTGTGTAAACTGCTTTAAAGTTATTAAGTCTGCATATAATATTGAAGGTAGGAATAATTGATCATATCATTCTTAAATAATTATAAAATAGTTTGATTTTATCTGCTAATTAATGAATTTCCAGATATCTCATTATTTCAAAATAATGAAAGGTGAATAATGTAATATATTAGAAATCTCAATAAATCTATACAACTCTCTTCTTCCTAACTGTTTAAAAACAGAAATATGCATACAATGTGACATAAGAAAATTTACCAAAAAATAATTTTACTTTTAAATTAATTAAACAATTCTGAGTGGAATGGGAAACAGTTAATAACTAAAAATACCCTCTCAATATTTCCAAATAAAATAAATAAAATTATATAAATTCACAAACACTGTCTGAAAAAATCAAAGTGAAATTTCATTACCTTCTGAATTCGGATAATGAAAGCTTCTTGTTCATTACAACAAAACATGACGAGTTCAGTGTAGTAGAAGTCCAATTAACAAAGTAGAATTAATTAGTGTATGTGTCTCTGTAATGTACCTGTAACCACACTGTGACTGCACACAGAGAATGCATATAAAATGCACACACACATTATTTAATGCGTCTCTTTCGGTTCATTTGACTTGGCTATACAATAACGCCATATAAATATACAAATAATATGAATTAGGTAACCTGAATATCAGAGATCTCTTTTCCAGATATCCATGGTAAATTACCCAAATATTGCAAAACTATCAAACAATTGTATAGTTAAATTTTAAGGGGTTTATAGAATCTTATCCCAGATTGTGAATGATAAGTTTTTTTCACACTTCAGCAGATTTTGAGCCGAGACAGTTTTTTTTCTTTATTACATAGATGTTCTCTTTCCAGGGCAGACATACTTGGATAATCTGATACACATGTATAGAGTGACAAGGTCAAATTAACACGAGCCAAAATAATGTCAGACAGTGCTAAATATGTACTTGTATACTGAAAGGTATTCTGAATATGGAATTATACATCTAATGTGAATCCTTTGTGAAGAAACCTTCCAAAAGCCATGCATATGTAAATTAAGATAGCTTTTAGTAAATGGATAACTGTAAAAGCCTTAAAAGTGCTTTCTCCATAGAAGTGCTAATGGAGGATATCTTTCTTGCCATGAAATCCTTTTCTTCAAATGTATTTATTAAGAACTGACAAATGGGATTTATTTCTATGTGTATCATTTTACAACCTGTTTTCATTGTTCCCAACATCTGAATGTGAACAAGTTAATTTTTTGTACATAACAAGTTTTTATATTCTTTAGTAAAAATGATTAATCTTTAATGAAACACAGTGACAACAGATATACCATTTCAATCCTCACATTTCTTAATGCAAATTCCAAAATATAGTTTTTCAAGTTATGTTCTAGACACAGGAGTATAAAAAAATGTCTCTGAAAAGACTGTTGCTCTACTGGTTAAGTTTCAAAAAGTCTAAAAATAACATTTTCCTTTTGAACCCCCCTAAAAAAATAACATGCCCTCATTTAAGGGGAAGAAGGATCTTTAGCTGAAAAAAATACTTGTCATTCAATTTCTTTTATATTTTGTATATTTCTAATTAAGTATGTCCCACATATCTTAAAGCAGTTATATCATTAGGTTTCTTACCTTATTTTAGAGATATTGATTGACAAATACTATGCCCTACAGTATCTAAGTGGAGTTTTAATTCTCCACGTTTGCGGGCTCATTACTCTGTCCATAATGGGATTTTTAAAGCATAAATAAAAAATATGTAAGTGACATGTATCTTTTAAAATATTTTAGAGTATGAATAGGGTTTAAAATTAGAAAAAGTAAGTTTCTTCTATCACACTGCATCTGGACAGGGAAAATTACGAACTTTTTAAGACAACTTAAACCACAAAAAATGTAATTTACAAAAAATTCTATCATTCAATATTTTAAAATTTACGTTGAAATGCAAGTCCTTCTAATTATTGATTAACTGTAAAAATTTCGAATGGTGAAGCTGACCTCAGTATTGCACAGGACATTGTTAAAGAGGACATAAGCAGAACAAAAACGTGTCATGTTTACATTTCTCGAGTACAGGAAAAACCATCTATGACGTCACGTGTAAGCTAAATAAGCGAAATAAGATATACCTACATAAGATTTCAGTCATCAGCCATGCAAAAATAATTTCTGTGTTCCCCGTTCTCAAAATATTTCATCATACACTGATTATGACTTGTTTTTACATAATAATACCACCCCTGTATTTACAGAGTATGATCTTGCTGTACTAACAGATCGTGTATGATGTCACCGACGAAATGGACACGCAGTTTAGGGAAACAGAGGAGTGGATCAATCTTTTTCATAATTTATTAATGTTTACAAGAATGTTAAACTTTTCAATTTTTTTAATATTAGATGGTAATTTAAGAAAAAAAAATTGTCAAAAAATTATACAAGAACTGATGCTTTACATGTTTTGCACTTATATAAACGGAGACTATGACGTACGTAGCTAAACAGAGTCATGTGACCATGTGTCCTTCATCACCTTAAAGCAGATAGGAAGGAGTTTTAAAATATCTCAGGCATTATAAGTAAAGTGAGTAATTATTAAATAGATTCTATTTTAACAGCAAGACCACTACCATCCATCAAACTAAAAATAAATTAGAAAACATAGGTAATCCGAGATTACAGAGCTCTTCTCAATGAATGTTGTCTTTAAGTAAGGCAAAGCCCTATACTAAATTAATAATGAGTCGTGTGCATCCCTAGATGCATCATCCATGCAAATTTGGTTCAGGTAGGTCTTAAAGTTACTTGGGAATGGACCTGCTTTAAAAATCTTATTCTGGTCATTCATCAGAAAATTGTAGGTCAAATCCGGCATCTGAAGCAAGTCTGGTAGTGTTAATCCCTAGATGCACCATCCACGGAAGTTTGGTCCAGGTAAGTCTTATAGTTGCTTGGGAATAGACCTGCTCCAAAAACTTTCACCTGATCACTTTTCCAGAAAATGTAGGTAAAATCCAGCATCTGAAGCAACTCTGGTAGTGTGCATCAATAAATGTATCTTCAGTGCAGTTATTTAGCATAGAAGCAAGCCTGGTAGTGTGCATCCTTTGATGTATCATCCATGCAAGTTTGGTCAATATAGGGCTTATATAGTTACTTGGAAATGAGACCTGCTCCAAAAACTTTAACTGCTCCAAAAACATTAACCTGGTCATTCTTTAGCTGATATTGCAGCATCTGAAACCTTGACTGGTACAATGAAACATACTAAAAGCATCTTCCATTCATCTCTGATTAATGTAGGGCATAGAAGAAATCTGCTCCAAAATCTTTAACCTGGGATGTCAATGCAGGTATTACGTAAGCTCCCCCTAACTTCGTTGAGGTGAGCTAAAATTGTTTCAATTTCATTCCATCATACAAAGCAAATTTCATATGATACCTTAAGTAGATATTGTTTAAACACTTTCACAGAGATTTATCTGTGCATGCACTGAGTTGCATGTAATAATCCTTTATGAAATTACAGTTGTATAAATAAGATAAACCTAGAGCAAGAGGGGAAAAATTAAGTTCAAAGTCATATGGAAGGTCAAGGTCAGAAAATTATGACACAGTTAAATTGCTCTCAAAAATTTTTATCAGTGTAAACAATGTGATGAATTGATCTTGAATAATTTCTTAAAAAACATTGAACAAACTTGAATCAACATAAAGCATCAGAAAGCATTCACATACGTTTAAAAAAGATTTGCTTTTCTATGATTATCTCCCCTCTCAAGCGGGCATGGCTAAATTTGAATCCCCCTCACTCAAGGATGCTTTATGCCAATGTTTGATTGAAATTGGTCCAGTCCTTATGTAGAAGATGTAAAAAATGTGAGCAGTTAAAAGGAAGACAGATGGATCAAAGGATAAATGATTGACAAACTAGTTCATGTGTCTTTGGCTCAGGTTAGCTAATGACTCCGCCTTATTTTTGCCTTTTCTTGAATTTCCCCTAATGAGAGGCACAGCACTTCATTTGAATAAACTTTAATCCCATTTACCTGAAGATACTCTGTGCAGGGCTCTTGTACTACTTTTTGGAAGCAGGGGCCAGGCTGTAATGATTGAGAAAATAGCGACCTTTTGGGAAATTTTGGGATAACCATCATTCTTTAAAACCATGACATATTTGGTTTCTGGTCTTTGTTATCAACTAAATTTTTGTTTTGCAATACAGAGGAATATGAATAGAAGTTTAGTTATTATATATTCAACTATATTTTCTCTAATTTTTGGGAGAAATTACTATTGGGAAAATTAACAGATTCAATTGGAAATAAAGGTATCTATTTTGAATTGGGAATGAGGCCCTTGAATGGCCCCAATGATAGACAATCGAGAGCCCTTCTGTGTCAAGTTTGCTTGATATTGGCCAAGTGCAAGGAGGAGTTGAAACTGACGTAAAAGATTGACAAATGGACAAGAGGTGATCAGAGAAGCGCACTTAAACCTTTGGTTCTGGTGAGCTAAAAATCACAAACAGTAATAAAATGGAATTTGAAAAGTTTTCATAACACTTTCAGTCTTTTACAGAGTTAAAATCACTTTTAATAACCCATAGTGCTTTGACAAAGACTCTAAATCTATATATTCTAGAATGATCCATGCAGTTATATAAAAAATATCTTGTGAAAAAAAATTTCTGAACACAGGCTAGGTAACACAGATTTATTCAGTGTTAATCTCATAGAAAACCTTCAATGAAAATATCATTCAAAAGAAGCCACAAACTGAAATTAGATAAATGCAGTCCCTTGATAAGTATAAAATTATCACACAAGAAATGAAGGGAAATGATCCTAATCAATAGGGACTGGATATTGGACAGTGCTTGTAATTTGGATGGAATTGATCCAGCCAATCAATTCCTCTGACACTGACCGGGTTTATTCAGGGTTCCATGGATGTGTGATGATTACTGCATTCTGTGTGATAATGTAAATCATCCAATAATCGGAATCAATGAACCTCAGTCTTTACCATGTAAGTCAAGGCCTCCTAAATTAGACGATGATAGTCCTTTGTGTCATACTACCCTTAAGCTAATAATCAGTTGTCAAAAAAATTAGGGTTTCTGACAGTTTTTGCATATATTGCAGATCTCCTGATATTTTACTTGTCAAGTATCATTAATTTTAATCATGAAAAGTGCTTTTTTATTCTAATGGTGTCAACATTTGCACAGGGTATCCACTATAAAATTATCTGACAGAGCATTTTAATGTAACATCTGTCAGATTTAGCTTTTACTGTTGAAAAATAAATGCAAGGCTTTGATGAGGTGATAATGAAACATGATCAGTAAAAAAACCTGTACAGAAATGTGTTTTTGTTTAATTACATTAAGGCAAAACTGACACTGCCTGGTGCAAGCCCCAGTTAAACTCAACATGTGTTGAACTACTGAAATCATTCACTGCACTCACAAAATATTTCAAATAGTTTGGTTTCCATGGAATCCATCAGCCAAGCTAATGGTCACATTTTCACCCTATGCAATGCCTTTCACTCCATCTGCCAGGGAAAAAAAAGCTCCAGCACTAATACATTAGTAGACCACACAGGTATCAGGTATTGCTTTGGGGAGAAAGTGCCATTTTAAAGAATGTGATGATGCGCCATCAATCTATTTCTTACTCAATCCAAGGTATGACAGAGAAATAGAATTTCTCAAGGATCATCTGTTCAGTTGCAGAGATAATCTAAGCTATAATAATTGTGTAGCCCTCTTGATTTTCACTGATTCTTCTGTAAACAATCAGATTCTTTGAATTCCTTTCCCTTTTGTTCTGACTGCTCAGTGCAACTCTTGCTCCCCGTTTTTGATGCCTCACTATTTTCTCTGGTAGAATCAGTGTGTCTCCATGGCTGATTCCTTACTTACCTTTAGATTAAAGAATTGGTGTTATATATATTTGATTCCTGCCCTTTGTTTTTTTTTTAAGTAGAATGCATCTGTCTCTATTTTGAAGAAAAAGTCTTGCCTTTAGTCAGTTAAGTTAGCACGATTCTGCAGCACTTCACAAGTGTTGTCTTTTGTTCTGATGAGTCAGCATGACTCAGCATACCTTTTAAGTCTAATCTTTAGTTCTGCTGAGTCAGCATGACTCAGCATACCTTTAAGTCTAATCTTTAGTTCTGCTGAGTTAATATGACTCTGTTTACCTCTTAAATGTCTTACCTTTTGTTCTGCTGAGTCAGCATGACTCTACTTCCTCTTAAAAGGTATTATCTTTTGTTCTGTTGAGTCAGCAAGACTTTGTTTCTTTTTTACCTGCCTTATGTATGTTCTGCTGAACCAACACAACTCAGCTTCCCTTATAAATGTCTTGTTTTTTATTATGATTAGACAGCTTTAAAATTCTTAAATGTCTAACCTTTTGTTCTGCTGAGTCAGCATGACTTTGCTTCCTCTTAAAAGGTATTACCTTTTGTTCTGTTGAGTCAGCAAGACTTTTTTCCATTTACCCACCTTATGTATGTTCTGCTGAGCCAAAATGACTCAGCTTCCCTTATAAATGTTTCGTTTTATATTCCGCTTAGAAAGCATCATTTTTTTGGAAGTCTTACCTTTTCTTCCACTGAGTAATCATAACATTCCTTCTCTTTTAAAGGTCCTAAATTGCTTTTTAGTTAGGTTAGACAGCAAGACTCTGCAACCTTTTTAAAAATTTTCACTTTTGTTATGTTGAACCACCATTAATTTGTCTTACCTTTCTTCTGCTGAGTCAGAAAGATTCTGATTCCCTTTTCAAAGTCTTTTATTTGTTCTGCTTAGTCAGCAAGACCTTCCTTCTCTTTCAAAATTCTTAACTTTAGTCTTTAGTCTCTTGAGTCAGCATCACTCTGCTTCCTTTCTAATTGCTTTCTTAAAAAGCTTAGTCAGCAAGACTATAAATCCTGCCTTACTCTTATTCTGCTGAGCATGACTCTGCTTTCCTTTTAAATGTCTTTCCTTTGTTCTGCAAAGTCATCATAACTTTCCATGCACATATTCTATTCTGTCAAAATACCCCCATCCCCCTTAAGTCACCAGGACTTTCTGTCCATTTTAAATTTTTACCTTTTGTTCTGCTGATTCGGCACGACTCTCTGCCTCCCTTTTTTTAAACTCCAATTCTTTCATCTGAAAATATAAAAGAAAAAAAAATCAAATTACGATAAATCATCTCTTCTTAAATTGATTTTTATCAATTCTTATCAATTATCAATCAACTCCAAGTTCAAGGTCAAGAAATCAAAAATGTTTGAACCCAAGGGAAGGTCTTGTCTCAAGGAATACACCTATCAAATATGAAAGTCCTAGCACCAACCGTTGAAAAGTTATGGCGAAAGTTAAAGTTTTACAAAAGTAGGTCAAACATCAAGGTCAAAAGTAATGGTGCCCAAGGGAAGGTCTTGTCACAAGAAATACACCTATGAAATATGAAAGCCCTGACTAGCTCTAATTGTTCAAAAGTTATGGTCAAGGTTGAAGTTTTTAAAAAGTGGGTCAAACTCCAAGGTCAAGGTCAAAAGGTCAAATATGTTGGTAATCAAAGAAAGGTTTTGTCACAGATATACACCTGTGAAATGTGAAAGCCATAGCAACAACCAATCAAAAGTAATGGGCAAGGTTAATTAAAGTTTTTGTGGACACACAAACAGCTAAACAGACAGAAGGATAGACAAGGCAAAAACTAGATGCCCCTGAATCTTCAATTACGGGGGCATAAAGAGAAAAACACCTAAAATCAAACTGGTTTAGTGTCCCTTTGCTGCATACTTTGAGGGTTAGTTTACAATGTCTTAAAAAGAATAAAGGATGACTGCACTGAACGACATACGGAATTTGAAACAAAATCATATTTCAAATTCAAAATGTGATTAGCTCACCTCAACGAAGTTGGGGGAGCTTATGTAATACCCTTGGCGTCGGCATCGGTGTCCCAGGTTAAGGTTTTTGGAGCAGTTTTCTTTTCAAGTACAGTGCGGTCTCGTTATTACGATGTTCATTTTGTCACGGAAATACATCGTAATACCGAGGGCAACGTAATAAAGGTTCCCAATAAAATCCATTAAAACATCGTTTTCAAAACTTGTTATTTTTGTGTGGTATATTTTTGCCCTTTTGTTCCCTTCTTCTGTTCCAATTCTTCATTAAAACGCTAACACATATATAATTTATTAACAACTTATCTTGAATAGATATCTTCATGATGATATTTCTTCTATTTCCTTCATTTTAAAAGAAATATGCATATTTCTTATAAAAAACTTCGGCGATCTTCATGTATCTACCGCCATTTCCTTTTACTTTTGTTTCTGACTCTAGATAATGCGTTCGTAAAAATTTCAATAAGCCATCTTTGTATTCAATTTATAGTCGTTAATACATGAACATTACAACAACAATTTTTAGTGAGCTTTTGGGTGTTCAATGAGCTTAGAGCAGCAGTGAACAACTGATGAAAGAGGGCATTGCAACTGGCATATTCATGGACGGAATTTGACAATACACAAGCTATATGTCAAAATAAATTTGATTGTTTAAATTACTGAACAGAGTTCAATTAGCAGTTCAGCAATTATCGATTTGAATTTCTGCAGACAGCTGTGAGGTAGTCCAAGCCACAATCCAAGCTGTTAAAATGTAAGTGAAGTTCTTTGGCCCAAATTATGTTTGATACCAAAGCTGTCCATTACCTCAGATTAATTGCAAATGAAATTACACAACAGGTGTTTAACATACATGCACAAGATTAAATGTAACCTTTTATTTAATAAATTAATTTTATTTATTGACCAAAGAATAAAAGATAAAATAAACTTTACAGAGATAGATAAACTAGAGACTACATTTATAAATAAACAGTTCAATTGTTTAACAATGGCTTTGACACAATGTCTCCAATTCTGCTGACCTCGATAGAACAGTCAAGGTGTGTGCAGTCAAGCGTCACTTATCACCTTACGGGTCTGTAGGTTAACACTCTGTCAGAGCACAGGTGTTTCAATGTTTATTTAGCGTTTCCTTAAGTGTCTACAGTTGATCAGCACTGAATAAACATGGAGTGAAATTTTTTTTTGGACAGAATTGTTACATCGTAATACCGAGTCCCGGCATTTTAGGACAACGTAATAAACGGTTCTATTTTGTATAGATTTGTTAAGAAATGGTTCTGTGCTTTGAATTTACAACGTAATAAGCGTTCTATCTTATAAAACCGTCACCGTAATAACGAGACCACACTGTACTTCTATGGCCTATATTAGTTAGAGATGCATGGAGGATGCTTCTAGTGTGTTTCATTGTACCAGTCAAGGTTTCAGATGCTGCAATTTCAGCTAAAGAATGACCAGGTTAATGTTTTTGGAGCAGGTTAAAGTTTTTGGAGCAGGTTAAAGTTTTTGGAGCAGGTCTCATTTCCAAGAAACTATAAGTCCTATATTGACCAAACTTCCATGGATGATACATCTAAGGATGCACACTACTGGACTTGCTTCGGATGCTGGATCTGACATACATTTTCCGGATGAGTGACTAGGTTAAGGTTTTTGGAGTAGATCTCATTTCCAAGTAACTATAAGCCCTATATTGACCAAACTTGCATGGATGATACATCTACGGATGCACACTACTGGACTTGCTTCGGATGCTGGATCTGACCTATATTTTTCGGATGAGTGACCAGGTTAAGGTTTTTGGAGTAGATCTCATTTCCAAGTAACTATAAGCCCTATATTGACCAAACTTGCATGGATGATACATCTACGGATGCACACTACTGGACTTGCTTCGGATGCTGGATCTGACCTATATTTTCCGGATGAGTGACCAGGTTAAGGTTTTTGGAGCAGATCTCATTTCCAAGTAACTAAAAGCCCTATGTTGACCAAACTTGCATGGATGATACATTTAAGGATGCACACTACTGGACTTGCTTCAGATGCTGAATCTGACCTATATTTTCCAGATGAGTGTCCAGGTTAAAGTTTTTGGAGCAGATGTCATTTCCAAGTACCTATAAACCCTATATTGACCAAACTTGCATGGATGATACATATAAGGATGTTCACTACTGGACTTGCTTCGAATGCTGGATCTGACCTACATTTCCGGATGAATAACCAGGTTAAAGTTTTCGGAGCAGATCTCATTTCCAAGTAACTATATGCCCTATATTGACTAAACTTGCATGGATGACACATCTAAGGATGCACACTACTGGACTTGTTTCGGATGCTGGATCTGACCTACATTTTCCGGATGAGTGACCAGGTTAAAGTTTTTGGAGCAGATGTCATTTCCAAGTAACTATAAACCCTATATTGACCAAACTTGCATGGATGATACATCTAAGGATGCACACTACTGGACTTGCTTCGGATGCTGGATCTGACCTACATTTTCTGGATGAGTAACCAGATTAAAGTTTTTGGAGCTGATCTCATTTCCAAGTAACTATAAGGCCTATCTGAACCAAACTTGCATGGATGATGCATCAACGTACGAACAATCTCAAAACTTGCTTCGTATGCTGGATTTGACTTACATTTTCTGAATGAGTGACTAGTTTTAAGTTTTCAGATAAGTCTATTCCCAAGGAACTGCAAGCCCTAACAGACCAAAATTGCATAAATGTTGCATCTAGGGATGCACACTCCTAGATTATTAGTTTAGTGTGGGACTTTGCCTTACTTAAAGACAACATTCGTTGAGGTGAGCTCTGTAATCTCTGATTACCTATGTTTTTAATTATAAGAGTGGCCAACATCTAAACTGCAACTTTATGTAATTACAGGTACAATAAATAAATGTTTGTATTTATGAAGAACAAATTCATTTTCATAGGTGGGGGTCTTCACGATTTCTTGTATCTCCATACAATAATGAGGACACCCACCTTTTTATTAAATGCATAGTCAGCGCATGTTTGTCTGCTGTTCTCCAAGTACTGGTAGTTGTATATCTGTATACCCGGTATATAAAGTTTTAAAAGGAGATCAATAGACAAATACACACTAATGGTTTAAAAGAGAAAACAGTGCTCCCTCTTAATAGGTTCATTCTCTCTATTGTAACCAACCACTGTGACCTATAACAATTATTATACTTCACCACGATTTCTTACCTCAGGTAACTTTGTGAACACTAAATTCTGTCATGTGACATGCCAAACTGAGCTACTTACAGGAATATTGTTTGAACACATAAAATTATCAGACAATAGTTTATGACCATCTGTATCTATAGCTATGTTTAAGTGACCATACTGTTATTTTGTTTTGAAACCCTTGTAAATAGTGGTGCCATATGGAAAGGAGAGAAAAAGAGAAATATGACACATATTGAAAAAAAAAAAATTTAAATTTGCGCGCGTTTGCATGAATGTTGCAGGATAACCTCCTGCGTAAAATTTGAATTAATGTTGTTTGGAAATATAAAAAGCCAAGGCTTTTATATTTCAAACAACATTTCCAGATTCAACATTTCTGAATTTATCCTGTATCATCCTCAACAAGATCTCTATGTCTATTCTACTACTAGCTCTAAAATACGCTGATCGTTTCCTCTATAGAGAAACAAATTAGGTCACCATGTCAAGAGTAGGCTTTTATTTACATGTACTCTGGTGCTTGCACTTTTTGATTAAAGGTAGGCAGAAGGCATTTGAAAATTACCTGTGTTATCCTCTGAAATTGGAGGATAAACTATACCACAATGCAATGTGGTTTCCACATATGGTAAAAAAATATTGAATCTAGCTATCCTCCAAAAACGGAGGCCACCCAGACCTGTTTATGCAATACAATAATCTCCACAGTAATTGTAGTAGAATTTTCCATAAATGTATGATATTGTTATCCTAAAGTATAATTTTAGACCCATTCTTACAGTATTAGCTCCACCTCTCATGCATATATATCAACCTAATCTTCAATCAAGGGCAGGAAGATATATAATTTTTTCTAAAATTGCCAAGCAGAAAGGGAGTATATATATTATTTTATTCACATTCTGAAATCATTGACATTAAAATTTGGTTCCAAATTGACCAAATTCTTTGACAAATCAATGGAAGTAAAATTAGATAAGATATATGAAGCTAAAATCCTTTGTTAAGTGCAGTCATCCTTTGTTAT